GCCTACTCGCAAACGTCCGAAAACACACATGTCTGCTTTGATGTAATTTGTCGTAGATCCCCCGCGGGGGATCCAGGCCATTTGCGAGTAGTTACTCTGCGAGTAGCGGAACGCGTTCGTCGACCCCCGACAAAAAACTCAATGGAAGCCCCGAAAGAAGACTCGAGGGCCTTTCCGACGGCCACCGAGGACCGCCGAGGAGAGCGCCGAGCCCCTCCGAGAACCTCCCTGCCCGACCCCCGTCCCCCGCCCCTGTCGCCGCCGTCCCCCGGCATCGCCGCTGACGTCGTCCTCGGCGTCGGTGTCACCGTCGCCGACGGCGTCAGAGTCATCGTCCTCGTCGTCGTGTCCGTCGGCGTCGCTGCCGACGCCGTCCGCCGCTGTCAACTTTGTCCTCGTCGTCGTGTCCGTCGGCGTCGCTGCCGACGCCGCCCGCCGCTGTCAGCTTTGTCCTCGTCGTCGTGTCCGTCGGCGGCCGACGCCGCCCGCCGCTGTCAGCTTTGTCCTCGTCGGCGTCGCCGTCGGCATCGCTCGCCGTCGGCGCCGCCGTCGGCATCTCCGCGGCGACGACAGGGGCGAATAGCCCAGGGGCGGGCATTACACGTATTCGCCCAGGAGCCTTTCCGAAGACACAGATCATCGGCGCACCTGAATACATGCATTGCTTCCCCCTGGGCCATTCGCCCCCGTCGTCGCCTCTGGGCGACGCTCGCTGGCGCGAGCGCCCGCGGGGCCTCGCGGGGATGTGTTTGTACAGGACCACCGTCTTCGCCCCCCGAAGGCCAGGGCCTCGGGCGCAGCCGGCGCCCGGTCGCCGGGGGTCGCCGCTCCCCCGGCAGGCCCCTGGGGGGGGCCTCGCAGGACGGAGGCAGGACGAACCCTCCTCCTCCTCCTCCTCCTCCTCCTCCTCCTCCTCCTCCTCCTCCTCCTCCTCCTCCTCCTCATCCTCCTCTCCTCCCTCCTGCTCCTCCTGCTCCTCCTCCTCCTCCTCCTCCTCCTCCTCCTCCTCCTCCTCCTCCTCCTCCGCCTCGGAGAAGTTCGGATGACTCTGGCGGGCAGCAGAGCCCAAACATCCCCACGTCTCAGAGAGCTCACGACGAGCGGTTCTCGGCGAGCTTCGGCCTCCGGAAGCCCGTGCCCGGCCCTGGGGCCGTCAAAAAACGGCTCGGAGTGAAATGCCGTCCCTGGGGAAGGCGTCCAGACCTCTGGAGAGCAACTCTGTGGCGAGAACCACACATCGGCGCTGGACGTCTGGGAACCACCCTTATAGTAGGCACCAACACAGTCGAGGCCCCCCAGTGAACGCATCTGAGGAAGGAATCGAACAGGGCGGAACTGTTTCGAAAACGCCCAAGACTGATTGGCAAAAGCTAGTCATGTGGGGTCGGTGTGGATTTTCCCCCATGAGGATACATCGGGAATTACCTTTGGGCTGGCGGGTCTGGATGCTGTATCGGACGCCGCGGCCGTTACGGAGCGCTCTGGAACGCTCGGAAAGCGTTCGAGAACACCCTGGAACGCACAGTCTGCTGCCGCATCGGCGCGCATGGCCAAGACTTTTTGCCCCAAGCCTTGCCAAGAGCAGCAGCCTTTATTCCACAGCCGTTTGCCCCAGGTTTCGTTGACCCGGGGAATTTCGTCGCAGACTGCGGCGCTTCTGGCCAAACGCGCCCCGAGAAACAAAGAACAACCAAAGACCGCACGAAGCAGTCAGACAGCATGCCGAACCCAGAAGGTACATCAGCACGCTGAACCCAAAAGATACATCGCTCTGGAACGATGTATCGGGCGCGCCGGAGGGGGGGGCACGAACAACGGGGTTAGGGCATCATCGCGCAAGGCACATGCTCAGACGAGGGGGGTCAGGGGACGTGCTGAAAGAATCAGGTGGGGCCATGGAACTTTGGAAGATTTCGTGGCCACGGCCATGATACGCCATCTCCTGCAAGTCTCGCCGCACCCGTCACACCCAGGACAATTGGAAGTTTTTTTAGCGAGGGGCAAGCATCCGAAGCGTCATGGGGTTACAGTCGGGACGGGTCCCTGGTCGATCCTCTATTACCTCGTCGTCGTCCTTGTTGAAAGCCTCCTCCTCCTCATCCTCCTCCTCCTCCTCCTCCTCCTCCTCCTCCTCCTCCTCCTCCTCCTCCGCCCTCCGCCTCCTCCGCCTCCTCCGCCTCCTCCACCTCCTCTTCCCCCCCCCCCCTCCTCTGGCTCGGTGGCCCTCCTCCTCGCAAGGGGTTGGGTTGCGGGCTTCACTTCTTCTTGAGATCGATGATGATCTGCGCGCACCCCCGGCCCGAGCCCTCCATCGGCGGGTACGCCGTTTGCACCTCGGCCGTGCTGGGTGTAACCTCTCTTCCCCCCTTCTAGCATCAGCAGCAGCAGCAACAGCAACAACAACAGCTACAACAACAGCAACGACGAAAACAGCAGCAACAATAACAGCAACGATATCGACGTTAAAATCATCACAATCAGCAGCAGCAGCATCATCAGCATCATCATCATCATCATCATCATCATCATCATCATCATCATCATCATCATCATCATCATCATCATCATATCATCATCATCATCATCATCATCATCATCATCATCATCATCATCATCATCATCATTCATCTCATCATCATCATCATCAGCATGTCATCATCATCAGCATCGTCAGAGGCGGTGGCGAGGACGGCGGTGGGACAATGGGACAGAGGTACAGTGGGGACAGTGGTGGGGACAGTGGGGACAGTGGTGGGAACAGTGGGACAGCTCAGTGGGACAGCGGAGGAGTCAGTGGGACAGTGGGGACAGTGGGGATAGGCAGTGGTTGGGTCCGTGGAGACAGTGGGGAGAGTGGAACCGTGGTGGGAACAGTTGTGGGAACAGTGGGGACAGTGCGACAGTGGTGGGGGCATTGGTGGGGACAATAGGGACGGTGGTGGAACCAGTGGGGACAGTGGTGGTGAGGACAGTGGTGCTGGGAACAACAGTGGGGGATGTGATGCGAGCGGTGGTAGGGACCGGGAGTCGTTTGCTGGCGGTGCGTGGGGGGGGGGTCGAACCGGTAGTGACCCCCCTCCGGTTTTCGAGGGGGGGGGGGGGGGGTCCAACCGGTAATGACCCCCCCCGGTTTTCCGATCCGGAGAGGGGGGGGAGGGTTCGAACGGTAGTGACCCCCGCCGGTTTTCGAGGAGGAGGGGGGGGGGGGAGGAGGTTAGGGGAGGGGGGGGTTTTGTCGAGGGGGAGGGGGGGGAGGGGTTCCAGCAGGGGGGGGGATTTTTCGGAGGAGGGCGGGGGAGACCCCCGGGTTCCGGAGGAAAAGGTTGTCAATTTTCCACAGTAGAGCGGCGGTGGATCACGCTCTCTCTTATCATCAGCAACAACATCATCATCATCACCATCCGCATCATCAAGACCATCATCATCCGTAGACAGCTTGGCTCAAGCCATGTTGGCTCAAGATGGTGCGGTTGCGGGCAGGGCTGCGGTCCCCAGGGCTGGCCTTCGCCGACGCGCCACCTCTTGGACCAGGAACCAAGTGCAATCTTTCACCGCGGCCCCACGGGCCACAGTCTTTCCGCACCCGGTCGTCCCCCGGGACCCGACCGAGCCAGCACTCGGGAGATTGGTCTCGACCGATGAGCAGACCGGCAGGACAAGGCGGCAAGGGGCAGCAGCCAGCGAGCGGCACGGCGAACAGCAGCCGCAGCTGGGACCGCCCAAAGTGCGGAGCCAGGAAGAACTGGGCATCCCGAAGCACGTGCAGAGACTGCGGATACGATTGGTGGCAGTGGTCTCACAGTCTCAAGTGTCAGGGGGTAGGGATGCTCTGGAGACCACCCTGGGCCTACCAGGAAATCCGGGGGACACCCTCGGGCCAGGCACGCTTCCAGCAGCACTCGAGCAGCGGCGGCGAGGGTAGCGACGGCGACCACGACGGCAACAGCAACGACGACGACGACGGCGACAACGGCGACGACCGCGCCACGACGACGGCGACAAACGGCGACGACGGCGACAAACGGCGACGACGACGAAGACGACGGCGGCCACGGCGGCGACGGCGACCACCGCGAAACCACGAGGGCAACCGACGGCGACGACGGCGACGGCGGCGGCGGCCACGACGACAGCGGCGACGGCGGCAGCGACGGCGGCGGCGATGGCGACTGACGGCGGCGACGGCGACGGCGGCGACGACGGCGGCGGCGACTGCTCCGGCAGCGGCGGCGGGAGGCCCCCATCGGTGCCGTGGCCGGCGCCGCCGCCTGCCGTGCGCCGTGAGCGCGCGGCAGCGTGCCGCGGCCCGCTCCGAGGCCGGCGCCTTGAGGAGCGTGCACAGGCCCTCGGCCTCTGCCCCGGGAGCCGGCAGGGAGGCGGCGAAGATGAGCGAGGGGGAGGAGAGGAGAACGAGGAGGAGGAGGAGAACGAGGAGGAGGAGGAGGTTCTTGTCCTTCCCGAGGGGGCGCGTTGGCTCTGTGGGGGCGGCGAAGAGGAGCGAGGGGGAGGAGGACAAGGAGGAGGAGGAGGAAGAGAAGGACGAGGATAAGGAGGAGCACGACGACGACGATGCCTCTCCACATCTTCATGCCGTGTGCGAACCCACTGTCCTGACCGTTTCAATCTAGGCTCCTCCAAAATCCCGAACCTATCCCAGGGCCAGCGATTCATCCCGAGCCGTTTCTTGGCAGTCCCAAGGCCCGGCGAGGGCCCCCAGGGGCCGACACTGGCCAAAAACCTCCCGCCGTGATTTCGCTCACGGCGCGAGCGCATCTGGGCGCCCTCCTCGTCGTCCTCCCCCTTGCCGCCCCTTCCCGGCCACTGCTTGCGATGCCGCCGAGGACGCCGTGTTGATGGCCTCGCCGAGGCCAGAGATGCGCAGGTAGTCGACGGGCGCCTTGGCTTCCACCTGCGCCCACGGCCGCCCCCACGGGAGCCGACACGTCCACTCGGGAAGGACAAGAACCTCCTCCTGCTCCTCCTCCTCCTCCTCCTCCTCC